GGGGGGGGGGGGGGGGGGGGGGGGCTGAGCTGAGCTTCTGAAAGCTGCAATATTGAAGTGACATTTTCCTTTGTTTCTGACTCAGACGTTAAAAGTTCAAACATTGTATTTTGCCATGTGTTCCAGGGCCAGAACCAGAGGATCAGCCCGTGCTCCACCCTGACCAGCAGCACTGCCTCCCCCCCTGCAGGCAGCCCCTGCTCCACACTCCCCCCTGCCATGCCAGGCCAGGCCGGCAACAGGGACTGCGCCTACGGCTCCGTCACCAGTCCCACCTCAACACTGGAGAGCAGGGACAGCGGGATTATCGGTGAGATTTGCTGCACACGGATTAACAAATACATGTATAAAGGTATACAGGGATTCTTCCTGAAAATAGGCTCAGTCGTTGTTTGTCTGTAGGATCACGCAAACACTACTGAATTGATTTTATTGAAACTCGATGGAAAGGTCGAGTCACCCAAGAAAGAACCTGTTTACTTTTTGAGAAAATTCGATTAAGGGGGCAGATCCAAATCCTATGTTTTATTCCAGCACAACATAGAGAGATAGGACGGAACGTCGATAAGTTGAAAGGCGTGGTTCACCTTGAGATTTGGTGATATGAATGAAAGCGATGCCTCACTCCTCTCGGTCCGTGTTTCAAGTCAGACTGTGGTAACCTGTCATGAACCCGTCTGGAACATGACTCGAGTGCAAATGTCACGTAGACATCATCATTGTCGTTCCTGGATTGTTGGTAAAACAATGTTTCCTGGCAACAGCGGCGATCGTCTTCATGTTCGATGATGAAAACATTACGTCAACAAGCCGCAGATTGATTCAGAGCAATGGTAAATGTGTGAAAGCAGATGTGTTGGGTGAAGAGAAGGAAGGAGCGTTAAACTCAAAACAAACCCAGTGTGGAAATGTACTAAATATTCTGTATGTGCAGCACTGATGACGGTGTCTTTCCCTCTGTCGCAGCCACTCTGACCAGCTATTCCGAGAACATGGAGCGAGGCGGCAAATACGGCGAGGGCTCCCGGGCCAACCTCAAGCTGTGGCAGTCCCAGAAATCAGGCATGGACTCGTTCCTGTACAGGGTGGATGAAAACATGACAGCCTCCACCTACAGCCTCAACAAAATCCCTGAGCGCAACCTGGAGAGCATGTCCTCCCACTCCGCCCACTCCATCCCTCTGTACCTCATGCCCCGCCCTAACTCTGTGGCAGGTGAGTCCCTTCCTCGTTCCCTCCCTCGCACTCCCGTGAAAGGCAGCGGTTACCCGGCGGTGCATGCAGCTTGCATATTCTGCCAAGATGGAGCGCCGTCTCTGGCAAAATTTGAATTGAACTGCTGGTTTTCAGTCCTGTTCCTCCCTGTTTCCGACTCCTCTTCTCTCCTATCAAGCTTTCTCTCCTCGCCTGTTTTCTGCCGAGGTGAACTGTGATCCCTCCCTTTGAATTCCTCGATGCTCGACTGTGTGGTCCCCAAATGCAGCAATGAAACACCGTTGAAAAGAGAAGAATATATTTGTGGTTTGGAGGAGCAACCTCGAGCATTGTGGCGTCTGCAGGGTTAAAATTTCTAAAGCCACATTTCTGCCAGACGCTCCGTAAAATCATCTGTGAAAAGAGCCAATGAAATGCGGCGTTCCACCAGACTGGAATGCCATCAACTCGAGTTATTTGGGTGTGACGTCATTCGAAGCTCCGAGGTGGAACACGGCATAAAGTCACTACTATTACTACTAACAATCCAGATTTTTAATACACAAATATCACGTGTTTTTATATATTTGTGAGACTAGTGCAGTCCTCGTTCTTTCTTTCTGAAAATCTCCTGAATATCTGTGATAAATCAGACACAGGCCTTTTGAAAGAGCTCCGTAATGGTTTGATGTGATTCAATTTGTTGTCAGTTATTTAAAAGAATCTAAATATATGTTTATTTAGTGAGGAAATAGCTCGTTTTCAGATATCATGGGGGTTACGTTGGATTTTCGGGGAGCTTAAAATCCGCAGTGGTATTTAGCTCTCTAAACTCTCATCCCTCTCGTGTGGAGTGAAACCAGAGAGCAGGAGGATGGGAAATAAAACAGCTTCGGCAGAACGTACTGCGTCTCGGAGAATATCGCATAGGAAAGCTTCCATTGCTGACAGGGGTCTTATTGATGTGTGCTATTGTCGGCCGCAGCTGCCTCAGAAAGGCTCCCACAAGTAGCAGTAAATATATCAGGGGAAAAGCCAGTTTCATAACGCTGCGTCCGTCCTAATGGGCCTGATTGTATTATTGTTCTCAGACGATGAGCTCTATTCTGCACTTCTCGCACTCCCACTGGAAAACGTGTGTGTGCACGTAACACAGACACACACACGCATGCATTTCACTAAACACTGAACATGTGCCTGACGAGGCTCGTCGCCGCGGCCATGACCCGCTCTTTATGCTGGTCATGCTCCGCTGTTTGACACGACTGTCTGGCAGTGCTGTGACTCTGCCGGGTTTAGAGATGCACCCTACTATCTCATCTCCGCCCCTCGGTACCCAGACCTTCAGAGGAGACCGGGCGAGCCGTAGACAGACTACAGAGCAGCGGATGATGCAAACAAATAAAATAAAGAGGGAGTGAGAGAGAAAACCGGATGGCGTTTGTATTTGTCAGGAACAGGAATTCCATATCGAGGAGAGGGATGGATGCATGCGGAAGAGGAGAGAAAGAGAGTTTCATAATCTCTCTCTCCCTCCTCTCTCCTCCACAAAGAATTATTAGACGATGCAGGGATGGGAGGGCGAGCGCAGGCTGAGGATTGGCTGGGCTCACGCAGCAGTGGAACATCAAAGCCCCAGGCATTAACCGTTTCTATCCCCCAGAGTGACAGAGAGACACTCGCTTTGAAGTGCGGCAAGAGAGGGAGAGAGATACGGAGCGCGAGCAGAAGGCGACTGGGGAGGAAAATGAGGAGGGAGGCGAGTGGAGGGGGGGGGGGGGTACTCTATTACCTAATGAAGGCAGTGCGTTGGCAGAGCTGAAGATGGATACGGAGGAAGGAGTAACCAAGACCGAGATT